AAGCCAACCCTTATATATAACCTTAGGTATGTTGCTGTTATTGCCCATAAGCACTTCACATTTCACACAAGAGAGCAAAAGAGAGAGAGAGAAAGAGACAGCAATATGTCAATGGAGGTGTATAAGAGAGCAAATGTACAGGAAATGTTGTCGCCGCTCTTGTCTTTGCTCTTTTTGCTCTCCTCTTTGAAAGGCACAAAATTTTGATCAGCCCAATTAGATCCACTTGGTGCTAAAAATTAATTTTTTGTATGCTTCTTTTTTACCTTATATATGCGTAACTGTTTTAAATCACATATAGTAGGTTTAACATATATGACTCTTGGGACATGCACGAGGAAATGATAACGAACTCAGAAGAGTTTTACAAGATGGTATAAAGCTTTCTTGCCCTCAGAATTTTAGGGGAATGATGTGTATAATTTTTGGTTATTTCTTTGTTATATTCATTTTTTTTTAATCTGAAGATGCTTGATAATGTTTCTTATAGTACCCATATAGATTATCTTGCCAGGTTTTGTAATGTCATGTAAGATGAGTGATTTTGGAATTGGTTGTTTTGTTTGATTAATGCTAAAAAGTCTGGTGTCCCGGCAGGTGACAGCACAAGAAGCAATAAAATGGTGATGATGACATAATGAATGAACTATGTGGCAGTATTGTAGTGTTATGGTGGAAAAAGCAGCATGATCTGTGGTCTGGGCAAACTAGGTGTTACAATGGCTTCTATCATAGCTTGTATTAATTACCATCATTGTCATTGCATTTCATGTTGGTTTTATGATGAGGGAAGCATCCGGTAGTACTGTAGGTTCACTGATTGGGAAAGTCGACTTCGTTAATGGCAAGGCTAGGGTTAGGCCGTGTTGTTGGCAATCATGTTAGTGCCCTTTGTGCTTTTATACATGATGAACAAAACATATGTCTAGTGTTCAAACCATATGTCTAGTGTTCAATTCAAAGAGAGGCTTGCCCCCATGATAAGAATTGTTGTTAGCGTCCCCAGTGGGGGTAAGGCTACTTACATCTTATGCTTCCCAGACCCTGCTTTAGTGGAAACTTCGTGCATTGGGTCGTCCTCCTTTAAGATTAGTTGAATTGAGTTACAGATCATGACATGGGTATCATTTCAAATGCACAAAATGGTGTCAGGCTCTCAAGTCTCTACAAACACTGGTTTCTAATTTCACAAGTACTGCCATATCAATGTGGTTTTGGTTATCTACTTCCTGAAGATATTGTTTTGAAGTGTTCCCTCATAATTTGGAAAATTTTCTTTTGATTCTTTTATTGGTTTGAAGTAACTCTTTGATTCTTTAGTTTCAATAAATCTATCCTACTTCATTTGATCACTCAACCATGCCATGTCTCTTTTTATCCTTATTTTGCAAAACAAAGTATGGAGTTAGCTATTGATTTTGCCAAAATTGTTAATAATGCAATTTGAAAGCAGCCCGATTCATAAACACAACACAGTAACTCCGTAACCAGCGTTTACATCTGCCAAAAATTTGTTTTTCAATGATTATTGTGTTTTTCATTTTATTGCTTCTGAAATCTATATTTAGTTGTATTTGTTCATCTGAATGCAGGTGACCAGATGGTTTTCTTCCTCCTGAATGTAATCGAAGTAATCGGGGTGTTGATGACATTCAAACCATTTCTTGCTCAATGATGAAGCTTTACTGCAAAACCAGGTTGGGTAAATGTCCTCAAAATGATTGTTTCAAGATGCAATGCATTGTTGCATTCAATGCAAGGGTAGTAACCAACCAAATACTTCGATTATTTGATTAAAATCCTATTAATATACCTGCAAATATACTCATTTGTTGTTGTTGATGAAAAACTGTTAGCATACTACAGCATACGGATGAGATCTTTGTTACAGGAAGCATAGCTTTGTTTGTTATTAGTAAGGAAAAAGTGTTACTATGTTTCCAAAAGAGTTTTGCGGTGGTGTTAATTTTACTGTTGTTTCCAAAATAAATGTGGATGAGTACAGATTGTTGCCTTCAAACATTACTGTTTTCACCCTTGATTTCTCAGGGTCTGGACTATCTGGAGGAGAGCATGTCACATTAGGGTGGAATGAAGTAAATGGCTGAGCAATTTAAATATTTCCTATTTTATAAAACAGTGTCTGTGTGAATGGAGTGTATGATGTCAGATGATCAAATGAGTTGCTCCAGTCAAATACATTCTTTGAGGATTGAAATTGCTGATGTATAATTTAAACCCTATTATTAACTAAAATCCAACTCACACAAAAAATGATGCTTGCGATTTTATGTGTTGCACGTAGAAAAAAGAAATCTACTATATCTATAATTGATAAATCAACTCTTGAATGTGTTTTATACATTACTATTCATAAAGTACACACTACATGTATAATATTATATGGTCTGTGCACATTTACTATTGAGGTTTGTAGAGGTATTTAACTTATTTTTGTCCAAAAATAAATTGTTATTATATTGTCCCAAAATATCTTTAGATTTAGGCCAAGTTTGGGAAGACTAAATAAGTGCACTTTTTGTCTTTTTGGACTAAAAAATTGAGGTTGAAAATATGGATGTTTGGGTTAACTTTTTGACTTTTTATTGAAAAATGTGTAATAAAAAATTGTAAAAATTGATTTGTAGGAAAAAATTTGAATTGAGAGTTGTGCAGCCGTAATTGTTGACTTTTGATGAATAGTGTTAACTTTTTAACTTTTTAAGTAACTTTTTGACTTTTTAATTTTTTTACAAGTTCCCAAACTTGACCTTAATTTGTGGTGACAAAAGGCATTAACTTGAGTGCAACTGGCACAAATCATATTAACCAAATTTTAACCACAGAGAGGGTTAGAGTGAATCCCTCTTGTGCACATTTCAAACTAGAGTTAGATAACACAATTTAACCATACTTGTAATAGATATCACAATTTAACCATACTTGTAATAACTAAGGTGAGGTTTGGCATACTTAAAAAAAGACAAAAAGTCAAAAAGTTACTATTCTATTTAAGTCACATCATCTTATTTAAATCACATCGCCTCTCTAACACATCACTTTAAAACCAACCCAAACTCAACTCATATTTCATAAAAAATCAAAAAATACATTTACTTAGATCATCTCAAACGACCTCTAAATACAACCACCCCTCTTTTGCACAAACAATAATGACTTTTGTAAAGGAATACAGTCATACAAATGAGTCCATGACGTTGACACTAGCTAGGAGGGCATTGAAGACTTTTGCAAAATATCATTCAGTTTGTTAGGTGAGTCATCATAAATTGTCAATCAATACAAAAACAACAATATTTCGACACAACAATATTTCGACCCATTCAAATTAAAACACATCCTAAATCATTTCATATTTTACAAAAAGAAAAAGATTGAGCTCTTCTTTTTCTTTGACCCCAACATCCTAATATATTAGAATTTGTTAATTTTTTATTTTTTATTTTTATTTTTTTTCTTTTATCACTCATTGACATGTATCTGTAAAAATTGTGAGGGATCAAGAAAAAAGGAATCTCTTTCATTTCTGTCTCTTAATTTTTAGGTTTTCTCTCATTTTATTCAAAGGTTTTATTCCCATCAAATCATTGACACGCAAAAAATGACAATTGCCGACCAAGAGTTTTGGTCGCAAAAAATACATCTATTGCCGACCAAAATAGCTCTTGGTCGTGGAAACTCACTTTTGCCGACCAAAAGTTTTGGTCGCGAAAAGTAACAAATGGCGACCAAAACCTTTTTTGGTCGTGGAATGTCACAATTGGCGACCTCCTTTTTGGTCGCGGAATGTCACGATTGGCGACCAAAATTTTTGGTCGCGGAATGTCACAATTGGTGACCAAACTTTTTGGTCGTTGAATGTGATAATTGGCGACCAAACTTTTTGGTCGGGAAAATATCACTTTTCGCGACCAAAAATTTAGTCGGCAAATCCGACTTTTGCCGACCAACCAAAATTTTAGTCGCGAATTACTTTTGCCGACCCTCAATTAGCGACCAAAGTATAACTTTTGCCGACCAAAAATAGACTTTTAGCGACCAATTTTTTTGTTGCCAAAAGTGTTAATTCTTGTAGTGTGACCAGTGTAATCAACAAACCAAACAAACAAAATGAAACAGATTTATAGAAATGGAACCATCAACACAATTGTCATAAGATAAATAAGAGAAACACTTGGTATCCCATAAACCAAAACACAATTGTGTACAATTTTCCATAGGGGTGAGTATGGTCCGGATTGGGATAAAACCAGGACCAATCTGTTATCTACGATTCCTAAAAAATTAGAACCAATCCAATCTGTTTAAATCATGAAACCAATCCGAACCAATCTATTTAAATACAGATTGGATCGGTTTAAGACCACGGATTCACATAATTAAATAACAAAAATATATTTATAACACTTTAATTTTATAAAAATATAAACACAGCGCTATATTAGTTCCACAATAGCAACATATTTTTCTATAATAGCGGCATACTGTTCTAAAATTTAAATAACCATAAGAAAATTGGTTTCACTATAAGTATTTAAACCATTACAAATTAAAACTAAAAACCAACAAACAAGAGTAATAAAAGAAGATATTATACGGTTTTAGATTTGAGTTTAGATTTTATATAAAATTAAGAGAAGATACTATGGAGGATGATGTATAATAAAAATATAAACTATTTGTATACGGTTCGGATTGGTTCCAATCCGGAACCGTGGGGTTCAATCCGAAACCAATCCGTAGACTACGGATTTTTAATTTTTCAATCCGGAATCGAACTGCGGATTCAAAAAACCAATCCAAACCTATCAAATTGGACTGGACTGGATCAGATTACAGATTTTACGGATCACTTGCTCAGCCCTAATTTTCCACATTGTTTCAAAGTCCATAGCTTCCTTACATATCCATAGTTGACAGATGAAATACACGGATTAAAAAAAAAAAAAAATGTAGGCGCCGATTTTTAGTGTTTGAGCTACATACGTTGACATACAACAACTTGGATGCTGAACAAAACAAAATTGCATCTGTACAAAGTCCATAATTCCTAAGCAAGCTTACGAACCCAATGCATCTGCATGTTGGGTAGCATCTGCATGAACATTTTCCTCGTTGCTTTATCACGGAAACTCTCACACGCCTTAACATATTGGTCGGGAGTGATTTCGTCCATTGTTGCCAAACATTGGATACATGCTGCAATGGAGTTTTGTTTTTTCTCGGCCTGGCTCGCTTCAGCCATTTTGTTCTGGCAAGCAAAAAATTCTTTTTTTGCAAGGTTTGTGGCAGTCCATGTATCAAGTGCCAAATCAAAGTGCGCACCCTTTCGCCCACTATTGTTGCCACTATACAGGTATTTCGTATGTGTAAACAAGCACGTTTGGTATAATGTAATATGCTGTCTACAAAAAAAAAAAATCGCAAGGAATAGAGTTATGATGTTTTAATGCATTCTTGTTTTGGTAAACATTGCATGTAACACATTTACGAAATGCAGCAAAGTAATATTTATCTCCACGTCGTTTTCAGCAAAAGAAGATGCAATAGAGTCTGGTGTGTGTGCTGTCTTTTGCTTCGTCTTCAAAGCGTCTTCAGTAAATGGGGGTGTACCTAAATGAACTGCACAGTGCACAATATTCAACGTGCCTTGTTCAAGAAAAATACATTTAATACAATTACAAGGGTTGAAAGACCTTACTCCTTTCCTCACGAATCTTGGTACAGCGGAGATCGAATCGACCACAAGAAACTGATGGTGTCACTACATAAACAACGATGACAACAATAAAAGTACAGAAATAAGTAAAACTTCCTGTTGGAGGAGACAAAGATACATCAACAACGATGACATCAACTGCACATATCCTTCTTCTCTAGCTTTTCACATTTCATTTTGTTTATACTAAGGCAAACTATTGATAAGATTTTACATTTTAAAAACATAAAAATAATGAGTTAGTCAAATTACATATCCTTTTCTCCTTCTCAATTCACATTTTATTTTTAATTAAAATCTAATACAGATTATGATTAGAAAAAAATGAACAAACCCACCATACTTGTTAATAAATCTTTAAAAACACTTTGTAATTAAATTTCAAATCTTTTGTGCGTAATACCAGTTTTGATGCTAGTGTAGTACAGTATAATTTAACGCCTTATAACTTAGGAATCATTCTATACAATTCTTTGAAGTTCTTTGAAGTGCTTACATTTCATTGATAAGATTTATGCAAGCTATTCAATTGTTCAGGCATACAAGTAGGTGATGAGTTTTGCTTCTTCACTTTGTTTATTTTGACCCAAAAAATCCAAAATAATATGCATATATGCATGGGGGATGTACCAATAAATCCCAAATTAATAACTTATGCACTGTTTAGTCCTAAAAGTTTTTTTATAGACTGAAAGGTCCCATTACAATGTTAATAACATCAGATACAATGTTAATAACATCAGAGTCATGTTACAAACATTGGATTTCAAACATCTAATGTTCATCAAATTTCAATAATGTTTGAAAATATAGGATGAAAAACATCTAATGTTCATCAGATTTCAATAAATTTTGAAATTATAGAATGAAACATCAGATCATTTACATCATTCACATCATGTTGATGTAAAAATGGGACTAAATGGAGCATAAGAAAACTTTTAGGACTAAATGGTTCAACGTTTCAAAAACTAGGACTTATGGGTAAATTTTCCTATATGCATATTGGAAGGACCATTTGGACCCTTTCATAATAATAAATCATGGCATCAAAATTATGGTTTAGCTAACCATTGCTAATTTGATTTTTGCTAAGTAAAATGGGAATTGTTTAACCTTGCTGAAGCCCCCATTTTGTACACCAAACCAGAAGAGTGAACCCAACAAAAAATCTGCTTCATTTTCATGTAAGAGAAGGACTTCAATACCGATTTTGGAACCACAGTTGGGAAAGGGGAAACTATGACGAACTTAACAAAATATGATAAAGCTAATTTCCCAAATGAAAAGCATAAAATCTGTGCTTAGTATGTACGAAATGTGGAAAATACATTCTGAAATCAAAACCAGTTACCCGAAGGTAGAGAAATTTCTTTCGGTTTCAAATGATTAAATTAGTTTCCAAAAGCAAAGCAGCGAACTAAACATTCATAATCTGAAGGGATTTTCAGATTCAACTAGGGATTTGGTGTATAAAACAAACCACACCAGTTTTAGGTTTACATATAAAACTTCAGCTCCGAGATTCAAGTACCATTTTCGTCTAATTGGTACCGTAAAGAATAGATTTGTTGAACAAAATTTCATTTCCTACAAATTTATGAAGAAGAACACTTGCAAAATGGAAGGGGGAAATGGAGATCAAAATGAAAACATGATGAACCAAAAATAGTGCGACTAACCTCTTTGTCGTCGGATCTTCGTCACCCTGAGCTCAAAGCGACCACTCGTTGCTTTGGTGTTGCCGACCTTCGCATATCGACGGAAGTGAAGATGTGGTAAAGAAAAATGCTTGGGAGCACTAATTAGTGCTCCCACTAATTAGGTGGCAGTGGGTCCCGTCATGAATGATGTGATATTTTGGTCTTGGAGTTATAATTTTTTTATTTTTTTTATTTTTCTAATGTATTAGTGCTATTAGTGGTGATATTTTTAGTGGGATGAATCATTGTTGATGTGGTAAAATGTTTGGTAAAGGTAATAAAGAGCAAGGCAGAGGCTATGAAGAGGAGTAGAAATAGAGCAAGGCAGAGGCTATGAATAGCTATTCCCGTCACGTGAAGAATCAGATGTCTCATTTATTTTTTTTCAAAACATAATTCATTTTTCAGATGGGCTTGATTTGTTTTTTAGAAAAATTTTTGAGAAAAATTTTCTACAAATAAATTGTCAAGAATAATTAAATTAAACAAATTTTTTTTAAAAAAAATTTAAAATTTTGTTTAGTTACCTACTTTTTAAAATCACTCTCTCTCCCGTACACATTAAATCAATTATTTTTTTTAAACTCTCTCTCTAAAACAATTTTTCAAAATAATTTCTGAAAAAAAAATAAATCAAACAAATTTTCGTATTTTTTATCTCAAAAATTACTCTACAAATACAAACTAAACACACAAATTATATAAAATTTTCAAAAAATCATATTCAAAAAATCACAACCAAACACATTTTATGTTTGGCAAGGGCTTTTTCAGGCTTTTTTGGCTATTTTAGCCACAAAAAACAAAATAGGCTATTTTAGCCATAACAAACAAAACATCACATCCAACCTATAATCATTACATTCTTCTCTCACAAAAAAAGTCAAAAAAGCCAAAAAGCCAAAAAGCCCTTCCCAAACCAAACTTTTTAGCCCAGGCTAAAATAGCCAAAAAAGTCAAAAAGCCAAAAAGCCAACCCACTTCCCAAACGGAGGCTGAATCTTTCTTTTTCCATTTTCTTTTTCTTTTTCTTTCCCGCCGTCTCTCTCTCTCTCTCTCTCTCTCTCACTTTCTCCCCGTGTGTGGCTTGCCGCCGCTGTACCCCTCTTTTCTTTTATTTTTATTTTATTTTATTATCTAAGGCTCGAATGCTTAACCTAATTGACATTATTTACATTTTATTTTATTAAATAATTACAACATATATAAATATTTTTTATAAAATTAATACATATAACACTTTTTATATATATAAATAAATATTTAAATTAATTATTTATAATTAAATATCACATTAAACTAATTAAATTTCATATTAAATTAATTAAATAACACATTAAATTCTCATGTAATTCACACAATCAATAAAGTTACAAATAAAATAAAAGGCAAATTACATATACCTCCCTTGAGGTTTGGCTTAATTACAGATACCCTCCTGAGGTTTCAGAAATTACATCTCGCCCCCTAAGGTTTGTATTTTCATAACAATTTGCCCCTTGAGGTTTAAATTTCATAACAAATTACGCCCTAATTTGTTATGCAAATATAGCATTCAGGGGAGAATTTGTAATTTCTCAAACCTCAGGGGGTATTTATAATTTAGCCAAACCTCGAGGGGTATATGTAATTTGCCCTAAAATAAAATAGTAACAAATAACAACTTGCAAAAAAAAATTAGAATCGCTACACTTTTCCTCTCTTTATCGCACTTCCCAAACCCACATCAATCGCGAACTGACGTCGCTTCACTTTGCCGCTAAAATGAGCCTGAGAGAGAGAGAGAGAGGGAGGGAGGGATGGAGGGAGAGATGGTCTAGATTTGCAAATTTAAAAAAATGACAAAAATGAAAAGGGAGATAAGGTTGCATTGGCAGACTTGGCAGAGAGGGTGATCACAGATGATGGATGAGTTGTGAGTTGCCTATCAGAGGCTAGCACAGTGTCAATTGTATGGGAGGGAGGTGGTAGTTAGGGAGTCCGGATCCTCTCCAGCGTGAATTCCCGTCCGGTCCTCCGGGTGACGGCTCAGATGAAGTCACGTTACCCTACAAGAAATGCATGGTTCAGATTTGTTTCTTTAAATAAATAAAAAATTCAAAACATACACACTGAATCATTTCCTTTTTCTCTGACCCTTCTCTCTCTCTCCCTCACTGCACGCACAAATCCCACCACACACACTCTCTCTCTCTCTCTCTCTTCTAATAAAAAATTAAAAAAATTATTTTAACCTTTTTTATTTTATTTTCATAATATATAATTTTTAATATAAAATTTTAATTTTATAACATTAATATCATTAAAAATATACCTTTAAAATGAGATTAATATTAAATATATTTAATAAAAATTTAAAATAAATAAAAACTAATTACGATGTTTAGTTATGTTTTCAAATTATTATTTTTTAAATATAAAAATTAATTTGATGAAATAAACACACAAAAATCATATATTTTTGAAATTCTCAAAAACAATCTTCAAATTAATTTTTATATTTAAAAAATAGACGTCTGGGGTGGAATTCCGATGGAACGTCCGGGGAGACTTCTGGCCAGACGTTCGGGAGGACTTTTCCAGGCACATAACTCTCTCTCTTTCCTACATTCTCCCTCTCTCTTTCGTTGGCTAAAATGCTAGCCATAGTTAACAAAAAAGTTAACAGCTGACACTAACACACTCCACTAACACATTTCTTAACACTTCCATTGTGAATCTAAAAATTATTGTGTCTCTCCTAAATTTTGGCGACTAACACTAACACACTCAATAACACATCCATTATGAATGCTCTAATACTTAGATTTCTTGCTCCCTATATATAAATGAGTGTTTCTCTTCTTTTCTCTTTAATAGGCACACACTTGTGTTTTGACCAACCACAATTCTCTACCACCACCTCCTCTCTCTCTCGCATCTTTTAGCCCTCCTCTCTCTCTCTCTCTCTCCACACATCACTCACACACTCACTCTCTCTCTCTCTCTCTCTCATTTCTAATAAAAAATTAAAATATTTATTTTAATCTTTTTTATTTTATTTTCATAATATATATATATAATTTTTAATATAAAATTTTAATTTTTATAAAATTAATATCATTGAAACTATACTTTTAAAATAAGACTAATATTAAATATATTTAATAAAAATTTAAAATAAATAAAAAGTAATTACTATGTTTAGTTATGCTTTCAAAGTATTATTTTTAAAATATAAAATTATTTTGATGAAAATAAATACATAAAAATCATATATTTTTGAAATTCTCAAAAATAATTTTCATTCCAAAAAAAATATGAAAATAATTCAATCTGTGTATAGATGTAAATTTTTTATTTTCTTCTAAACATAAATTCAATTAATGTTATAAAATTAAAATTTTATATTAAAAATTATATATATATATTATGAAAAAGATTAAAATAATTTTTTAATTTTTTATTAAAAATGAGAGAGAGAGAGGATGGGATGTGACCGTGTGCTGCAGTGACGTGAGGGAGAGAGAGGAGTGTCAGAGAAAAGGAAATGGTTTAGTGTGGGTGTGTTTTGAAAGTTTTTGTTTAAAGAAATAAATCCGAACCATAATGTTTGAGAACCACAATTTGTGTGGCTCAAATGGCTCAAAACTGCCAAAACGACGTTGTTTTGGCATGTTTTGTGCTCAAAACGACGTTGTTTTGGCAGTTTTGAGCCATTTGAGCCACAAAAATTGTGGCCCTCTACCATTGCCCATTTTCTTGTAGGCGACGTGGCTTTATCTCAACCCTTGGCCAGAGGAACTGCTGGAGAGAGGGGCCGGAGAAGATCCGGACTCGTAGTTAGGAGTAGGGATGGACAATAGTTCATTGGCCCGCTCTATCTAATTTTATTTTTTTAAGGACTTGAGAAGATTATTTTAATTTATAAGGTCAGCTTGTACCAACATTTTCAACTGGATGTATTAATAGTTTAGACTTGAGATTTATATTTTCAACCTAATTTGGTCTGTTATTAAATTAATTAATTATAATACATTAAAATATATTATTTTTGTTGTGATCTAAAGTTTATCTGTGTTAATTTTATTAAAATTCACATTTATAATGATGTATAATTAAATTTATTTAAGAAATTCTTTAACTTAAATATAAAATCTTTCAATTTATAATGATGTAAATATATTTCATTAAAAAATATACTATTTATTTAATCATCGTAGAAAAGGAAAGCCAAACAGCAGCATGGCCCAAGCGCAGTCCAACAACTTCAGCCCAAAAAAAAAAATAAATAAACTGAATGTTTGGCCCATGCAGGTCTCGAACCTGCGACCTTCGCGTTATTAGCACGACGCTCTAACCAGCTGAGCTAATAGGCCGGTTTGTTCTTGGTCGTGTCAGATGTTAGTTATTTAAATAAATATTAGATATGATAACGACATTAACACAAGGAAAAGTCAAAACGATTGCTTCCACTGAAGACCATTCATCTTTCATGGTGTTTCCATTGTTGTTTGGTTTGCTGGTCAATTTAGGACATGTTTAGGAATAAACTATTTTAGTAATTTTTTATAAAAGAATATGTATAAAAAATAGAGAAAATAATGTGACAATTTATAATAATTTTATGACTTTTTAGCTAAAATTAAAAGTTGCTAAGTGTAAATTACACTTTTGGGTGGAACTGGGGCAGGTTCAGACAAATTAATAAATTGTCCAAACCCAATTCAAGTTATACTGAGAATTATCCAGGCCGTTCTAGGTCCGAATTGTAACTTGAGATTGTTTACCTAGGACCGACCCAAGTAAAACTGGAATTGTCCGATTTGAACATAAATTTTTAATTTTTTTAATTAATTTATTTATTAAAATTAGAGTCTATTTATATTTTTTTTATAAAATTATTAATAGTATCAAAATAAATAATTTATATAATGTAAGAGAAATGTCACTATAGTAGTCTTTACGATTTATGTGTAAAAATAAAAAGAAAAAAAAGTAAGATTTTATATTATTTGTATATATCATATATATTCAATATGATTTAATAATATAAATTACTTTAATATCATATGATGGCTAATAATTTATATGTATATTTAATATTTTTATATATCTATATACGTATAATTCGGGTTTCGGGTTACTCGGGTTGTTTGATATCTTAAATACTGGATTGAAACTCCCGCTCGAGCGCCAAAACCCCCGCTCGAGCGGACAGGTCAAAATCTGGGCAACTAGTTTTGGTTTCTAAACTCAACCAACCTGTAACAAACCTGCCCAACACATCCTATAACCCAAACACAAAGTAAGAAAGGATGTACACCAGGTAATAATCAACTACTATCATCCACGGACACATGTCCGGATCACTGTACAACAAGGGTAAACCCGGGATCGCTATAAGTATTTTGCCCCAAGCCCTAAAAATATTCAAGTTGGGTTGTGCAAGTTAAGCCTGCCAAGTTACATCCCTAATTATACTAAGTTTGCTTTAAGATTTTTATAATTAAAAAAAAATATACATAAAGGAAATATCACTACGCCAAAATTGGGCTTTAGCAGTGATTTTTTACCGCCGTTAAAGGATGTAAAACCGCTGTTAAAGTCTTTAACGGCAGTAATTTAAGACCGCCGTTTATACTTGTGTCGAAAAATGTACAACCGTTATAAAAGGGAAAATTACCGTAGTTAAAAGTCGACTAAAAACGGCGGTTCTTTACCGCCGTAAATAGGTTCAAATTTTTTAAAAAAGAATTCTCTCTTCTTGCACCCCCCACGTCTCAAACCCTTGACCTCTAATCCACGCACACCAACCACTCCACCACAGCCACTCTATATGAAATATATTCCCTAAATAAATATTTAAACATTACTTTTGTTTTATTATAGATGGTCATGTTCAACCTCTGGCGGCGCATGATCACCACTTGCCGGAGCTCCGCCGACAAAGACCGCCATCAGTAACGGCAGTAATGAGAGGGGTTTAGCGGCGGTTTCGTTACCGAGGTTAAAAGAGGGCTTTAGTGGCAGTTTTTTTAACGACGGTTTCATTACCGCCGTTAAAGATACTTTAGCGGCGGTTTTTTAAACGGCGATAACAAAACCGCCGTTAAAGATACATTAACGGCGGTTTTTGTAACGAAAACCACGATAACAAAAACCGCCGTTAATGTCCTGTTTTGGCGTAGTGTATTGGAGTTTCTCACCTTCTTGCTTGGATGGATTATGATTAAAAGATGATAAGGCCTCGTTTGGGAATCAGGCCATTTAGTCAAAAAATCAAAAAGTTACTAAAAAAGTCAAAAAGTCAAAAAGTCAACAATCCATAGCAAAAAGTCAAAAATTCTCTTTTATATCTACTTTTTGCACATCTTTTCGTAAAAAGTCAAAAAGTCATCCCAAACATACTACTTTTTTTTAGCTCATATTTTAGCCAAATAACTAAAAAGTTACTAAATTAGCATGTTCCCAAATGAGGCCTAAATATGTTTTGATTTTATTTTATTTTATTTTATTTTCTTTGTATTTAATAATACTTAAATGTTATAATTTATTTTTTTTTGTAAAGAGTAATTTTGGTTTCTCACCAAATTTCACAATTTTGGTGAGGAAAAAAAAAAACTTAAATTTGAAGTGATTTGTCTTTCAATATTTCCCTTTCTTTCTTGCAATCATTTGCTTAATTATATTGATGAGAAAAATATTATTTTTTATTTTACATTTAAATATATACTATAAAATAGACCTCTCGACCCTCACACATCACATGCATTAGTTTCATTTACTTTATACTAAAAAAAAATTAGTTTAATTATTCTAAGTTGAGTTTATTACACTTTATACTTTTAAACGATTGCCAAATTATCTACTTAATCCCTAAATTATTAATTGAGTCTACTAAATCTCTAAAGTGTATAAATTAATTCTATTTAATCTCTAAACTATTGATTGAATTTATTAAGTTCGTAAAATATTTAATTCAAATATATTTAGTCTCTGAAAGGATTACAAAAAATAAAATATAAGCTCATAACCAATGTTTTGAAAACCATATTGGACCGGTCGGTTCAACTGGCTGAATTGTCAACCGGTCCAGATATATCTTCTAACACATTCCCCCTTGAAAACCAGTCATTTTAAGTCAAACTAGTGCACATCGTGGTTAAACTGCTAAACCGAACGAATTGGCCTGGGTTGAAGCAAACTAGACCGGTTTGTTATGTTTGGTCCAATATTGAAAAAGTTAATGCTAAGGGGACTTGAACCCAATACCTCAAGCTCTAAAGAGCATGAATTCTGCCACCATAGTTTCTTCTTAATATGTAGGAAATATATGTATTCAAACTAATTTCCCTCAAACACAAGTATATTAAATAATTTTATGAATAATATTAATATAAAAAGCTATATAAGCATATATGTTTGATGAATATATATATATTAAATTATAAAGTATTTTAAATGGATGTATTTTATTTATTTTTAAATTATAAAAATATTCATAAAATAATTATGACATTACAGTTTGATTCCGATTCAATCCAACGGTTGAACCAGAAACCCGTCCACCTGATCTCTTTTCCGGTTAACTCACCGGTCCGGTTTTTAAAACATTGCTTGAATTAGTAAAAGACATATCTAGTTAAAATTTTATTTAAAAAATATCTTAAATTTTTATTTTGTCTTTAAAAAGTATATGTCATTTCTTTTTGTGAATTTCCTTTAAAAAGGTAAGGGTAATTATTTATAGTATTTTTTCTACGTATATTTTAAAATGGCTATGTGCTTGTTATTATCTGGTATTATATACCAAATTTTGTTTATAATTTTTAATTGATTATTTTTAAAGCTTTTTTTAAAACTTAATTAATGTATTATTTTGTTCTATTGTTATTTGTAGTGAAATATTATTATTTAAATTATATAATTACACTTTTTTAGTATATCTAATACTCGTACAATTTTATTGGCAAAATTGAGAAATCAGACTATAATATTATTTCAAACGCACAACGAAATATAACAGTTTTCAAAAAAAATAAAAATTTAAGATTTTCCTATAATAAATCTTAGTTAGGTCGAGTCTTTTACTAATTTATAATATTTATGGGCATATATTTTATTTTTCTAATTCTTTCAGGACTAAATAAATTTAAATTAAATATTTTAAGAACTTAATAGATTCAATCGATAGTTTATGAGTTCAGTAAATTTTGATTTATTTATACTTTAGGGACTAAATAAACTTAATCAATAGTTCAGGAACTAAATAAATAATTTGACAGTAATTTTTGGGTAGAAAGTATAATAAATCCTTCCAAATTTATGATGTTGCTTATGTTTACTTAAGGAACGCTAGTATAATTTATTCAAACATTAATATTATATTTGAATCTTAAATTTATAAAAAAGTTTGTGGAAGGATAAAAAGAGAAGTGATCAGTTTGTTTCATTCTTTTTTTTTCTCTCTCTTATTATTCTTGACAAATCTCATATCCTAGGAAGCACGGATACGGATACGGGATACAGATACAATACGATACGGGTACGGCGATACGACAAAATTTGAAAAACTAAGATATGGGTACGGCGGGGATACGTTCGTAAAAAATATTATTTTAACAATTTTTAGTAATGCAGTATGCATAAAAATAAAATCTAAAGCAAAAGACAACTTGATAAAGAAGAAAGATTCCTATAAAACTAAGAGTCTTCAAGGTCAATAGCTTCAACTTGTTCTCCTTCATCATTGAATATCACAAGACCTTAACTAAAGCCAAAAAACCATTCTTAAATAAAAATTTCAGCAAATATACTTTTTTAAGTCATCAATGATAGCCTAGGAAGCACGGATACGAATATGGTGATATGGGGATGTGGATATGGCGATATGTCAAAATTTGAAAAAGTACGATACGGGTACAGCGGGGATACATTCATAATTTTTTTTATTTTATATAATTTTAATAATGTAATATGCATGAAAATAAAACTTAAAGTAAATTAATAAATAAGGAGAGGGATTCCTATTAACCTAAAAGTGTTCAAACATTCATAAAACATCCAAAACTAAAAGCAAAAACAAAAGCAAAAGCAAATGCAAAGCCAACACCAAAAAAAGAATGAGAGCAGAGAGAAGAAACGTGAGAGAGTGAAAAAGCGAGAGAGAAGTGAGAGAGACAACAAGGATACATCAATTTGACAAATTCTATTACTTTAACTCTCACTATATTCCTCTTATCAAAGAACTAAACAAAATATTATAAGTAATATATAACTTCGAGTATCCGATACTACAAAATTAAGTATCCGATACTTCAAAATTAATAAAAAATTAATTAAGAAGTATCTGATACTTTTAAGAATTATCTGATACTTTTAAGAAGTATCCGATACATATCCGCGAGTATCCGAGGAGTATCGGTATCCGATAAATATCCGATACGGATACGTCACCCTTTTTGAAGTATCCGTGCTTCATAGCTCATATCCAAACACAGTTTTAAGTGAAGTCACCTGACCCATATCCCATAAGGGAAAATTATGTATTTTATGTGTAGTAACCAAATAATGGAAGGGTGGTTGGAAATGGTTTCCTTATCTTCTTTCCTTTCCTCTCTTTAAACAACACCAGAGCAATTCACAGCAAACTGTTTTCTCATTCTAAAACACAAATTGTCTCTCTTCCATTCACAGAAAAATGGCTGAAGCTGTCATGAGTTTCACAGTTGTCAAGCCACACATTCACAATTCTCTCCAAACAACAAAATTGGACTTGTACCCATCATCCAAATCAGTAAACATTTCTCTCAATTCCAAATTTCATACTCAATTGTCAATTCCCATCAGATTATTGATGCTTGAAATGAATTCCCTTTTCTTTGATTTTGCAGCTTAGGCAGTGGTCAATCTCTAGGTTTAGCAATGGCTGGCATCAGGTAAATGGCATGTTCATGACTTGTTCAATTTTCCTGGAAACCAAACAGAGAAATAGAAAGTTGAGAAGTTTAGGTTATGGGTCTTCCCAAGATTGTGAAAATTATTAATTAAACTCTTTGGCAAGTATAATAGATTGAAAGCAGCAAGAGCAAAAGGGGGTCTTTGAGCAAAGTGAATGCTTTACCAGATTGGCCATTAATGGCAGTTCTTGTGGAACACATTGAAGGCCAAAGAGACCTCATAACACACAAATCCATTTGGCATCTCAATGATGAAGCAATAAAAAATGTCTGTAAGTATTTGCTCATCCCTAACCTTTTTTCCCTTATCTCTTATGGGTATGGTTTGAAATTTGAATTACACAGATAATTATATATAATTGTGAGTTAATTACATTAACCGTCTTCAAAATATGTGATTTGTTAGATTTTTCTTTATCTTTTAATTTTAATTTTAATTTTTGTTTTGTTTTTTTTTTTTTTCTTTTTCTTTTTCCACTCTGATTCCCAAAGTAAGTAAGCTAATGAGCTCAAATCCCTAGTAGCATCAGTACCATTCAAAATCCACAACAGAGGAGGGTATTTTTGTAGTCTTACATAAAGTTTCAACAAAATCAAAGAGGTCAGATATACATATGGTCCATAAAGTATGCATTTAGTCAGCCAACGCACGCACTTCATTGAATTTCAGTCTCTAATCTTTTAATTTTGCTACATTTTTTTTGGAGAGTTTAAGAAAATACCGTTATTAATTTTGAATAACAAGATTGTGCCAGCGACTAAAATGTAACATATTGCATATTGATTGTGATCTTTTAGGGACTAGTAATGTAATTAATCCTATATTACTTGGATTTTGGTTGAAAGAAAGAAAATGATTTTCCTGTTCTTTTGATTATAGATACATTTTACATAATGTTCACATGTTGGGGATGTTGTTTCTTTGGCTCCACAAAGGTGAGTATTTTTCAGTTATTTCAGTTTCTGATGATTGAAAGTAACGGTATTTATAGTAACACTTCTGAATTTCTTAATTTCTAATAAACTAAATGATGAAAATGGGTTTTAGGATCCATACTATGATTCAGAACAGTACAGGAAAGATGGAGGAGATGGTACTGGGCATTGGGTCTATGAGAGGGTAGGTATTCTTTGATTTAACTTCATTAATTTTTCCATTGAAAACCATTAATTTGGTGACAATCGTTTGGGTAATTAGTGTATCTGAGCTTATGCAATCTCTCATCCTATACATACCACATAATTATTAAACACAGAGATTACGCGTCACGTCTAAAAAGTGTATTTGATCTATATTTCTTAAGACACTTATCATTGATTGATTGCGGATCTTGGGCACACCAGGGGACACTCACAAGCAAAAACACAAGAGTTTTAACGTGGTTCGGCAAACCGGCCTACGTCCACGGGAGCGATGTTGTTATATATCAACAAATGGAGGAGATAACACACTCTCAACTCACTGTCTCTCTATATAACACACTCTCTCACACTCTCTGATACACAAACAGAATATAGCTCTCACTAGCTCTCTCTGTTTTGTGCCTTTCTCTCAGCAGTGTGTTTCTCTCTTGCTTGCTATGTTTGCCGTGTATTCAACTCACCATCACCATTCCATTTTATACACCAAAACAGAAGGTGGAGGAGGCCTCATGGGTGTGTTGGCTGCCAGCCCAATATTCTCCTTTGAACTGCTGTCCAGTTGAAAGCTTTGTCCCACCATGTGAAGACTTCACATGGCCAACTCCATGTTTTCTCCTTTGTTGCTGGCGCATGGCAAGCCTCATGGCTGCCAACTCAAGCCTCATGACTTGCCAACTCATGCCAACCTCTTTTGCCTTCCTTTTACCATGTGGGTTGGCCACCCTTCCATGCACATCCTATACATACCACATAATTATTAAACACAGAGATTACGCGTCACGTCTAAAAAATGCATTTAATCTATATTTCTTAAGACACTTATCATTGATTGATTAACTTGTCACTGCCTTGACCAAAGAAATTGTACTTATGTATAATTTTAAAATATTGCCCCATTGAAAATTTTGAAATGCCCCCACTTAAATATTAAAAAATATTATTTTTACCTATGGTTTTAGAATTATTTTTATCACCAATAATTTTAAAAAATATTATGGGTATTATTGCAGCAAGAAGATATAGAAGAATCAGCAAGAGCAGAGTTGTGGAGGGAGGAGCTGATTGAAGAGATCGAACAGAAAGTGGGAGGCCTCCGAGAGTTGGAAGAGGCTGGCAAAAAGGAAGAAGAGCTCGTTAAGTGATCACACTATCATTCTTTTGGAAAATGATTGGTGGCCCTAAAAAAATTGCCCCTAATACCCCTAATTTCCATTTTGGGAAACCGTTTTTTTTTTCTTTCTTTTTTCCTTTTTTTTTTTTTTTTTTTTTTCTTGAAATGGAATTTCGGGGCTTTCGAGCCCCGAAATTTCGGGCCCTCAATCACTTCCGAATATTATTTTTCATCAGTTTTACTTACTGGAATTAGGTTAATGATTTATATTGAAAACATATAAAAAAAAATTTAAAAACTTATATTTATTTTGTAACAATAATCAAACTTTGAGATTTTTTTTTTAATTTTTCCTTAATATTTTTTTAACATAATAAAATATGCCAATAAAATATATAATTAATGCAATGGTTCAATTTAAAATTGAAATAAAATGATATTAAAATCATACATCATAAAATGACATAATTTTTCTTTAATTTTAAGATAAATTATACTTTGCCCTTTTATGTTTGGTCAATTTTCCATTTTGGCTCTTAAAGTTACTCTTTTTTCTTTTTTTTTTTCACTTTTGACCTTTCATGTCTCAAGTTTTTCTCAATTTACTCTAAAGCTAACTTCAATTCAAATTAGACAAAAAATGACACATTACCAATCACATGACACAAAAAATATTTTATTATATATAACTCAGATATCTGATACAAATTCAAACTCCAATATAATAATATATTTTTATATTATCAGACAGTATCATGACATTTTTTGTCTAATTTTGGACACAAGTTAGCTTTACAAACAATATATTTTTATATTATATGACAGTATCTGACGTGGCCGTAAGACTTGGGTGAGAAAAATAAACTAAAATACAAATACCAAAGGTTGAACCCGAAGGATGTCTACGTCTCCCTTTGTAAGGAATCAAACATGCGTAGTTTAAGGGTACAACGCAAAGTGACATGCAAGAATCAAAACTTATGATCATGCAATGAAATATTCATACGTATGCTAACAAGCAATGAAACAATGCAACAAGCGATAACAGGAATACAACACTTGAACAAAAGCATAAATTCAAGCAAAACAAACAAAGCTGAATATTATACGCAAGTATAAATTTATAAATTTTTTAACTCATTAAAGCTCGTGAACAGGCTCGAACTCAAGTCAAATCTAAGCCAACTTGACTCTAGCTCGGTTTACTAAATTTTTATCAAACTTGAGTTCGTTAAAATCTTAATAAACAAGCTAAAACATACTAAAGCTCGGTTCGACTCCGCTCGACTCATTTGCCGCCCTAATTACAGTGTTAATAAATTTAATAATATGTTTAGTTGTGTTAATTAACAAAGAGTTTATGAAAATTATTTTTAATAGAAAAGTAAAATAGTAAATTTATAATTCCAATCCCCTAACAAATGTTAGGAGAGAGGTCAATGTAATTTTAAAAATTATAAAACCCTGGTTTCATTATAGGAGATCCGGGTGATTACATCATTGTGAACCAAACGGCTCAAGCCATGAGAAGGCAAAGCAACCCAATTAACTGGTAAAAGTAAAAGTGCATGGGCACGAGCAACCCAATGTGCAACTTTTGTTAGTACTTCGCCTGGTATGAGAACCAAGCCTGGGAAATCTACCTATATCAGAGATGACCTTGAAAATTTGTTCTAAAAACACAATGGAAAAAAATAAAATAAAAACACAAACCAAACAAAAGTGACAATGATCATTTTTGAAATTTTTATCATTTTACAAAAAATGAAAACAAAAACAAAATAAGTAAAAAACAAATACACAATCAAAGAGGCATTAGTAATTATGCGAAAGCCTTCATTTTACATGAGAGGCTTTTGGAGCCCAAAAAGTGATCAAGCTACTACAAAAAACTTTCATTCAAGTCTCCATCTTATGTAACAATCATCTGGTTCTCTTGACAAACACTAGGTAATAGGTATGTACTTTAAACAATCCCAAAACCATGTAACCTACAACATCAAGAGGCCACAAATTTGAAATACAAAAATGTGGTTATGTGACTACAATCTTGATGAATTATGAAAGAATGTACTTCAAACTATACTCATTCACTATCCAGTCTAACAATAGAAAGACAATCTAATGGCTGCATATTTTCTTGGGGCTCACTGGTCAACACAAAAAATCAATAATTACATAATTAGATCCCATTGCACATTCAGATCACCGAGCTAGACAAACTAGGCCGCGACAATCTCTCTATAGGGACAGAAGCTATCTCAATGAAAATTGTGAAGTAATGTAGTTCCACAAAATCTTATTAGAAACCTTTCAAGTTTTGATGCCAGGTTACCATAGATGGAATGATCTGCATGTAACAAAAAACCATAACAGCATAACAAACAATGCTAGGAAAGCCTACTTTTTAAATTATAAATAATAATGCAAAAGCTAATTGTAATACAGATTCTTAAGCACGGATAGTTTTGCCTCAGAGGTAGTGACAATCACATATCATCATCATCTCTATATCTGATAATTCGTGAATATGAACATCATAGGCAAACCAAGACACTATGCTTTTAGGTGAAATATGCATAAAGCTCTGCTTGTGAAGGTTCAAAACTAAACAAAACTAACTAATTAGAGAAATAACATATTACAATTGATTTCTTTTTTAAAAAAAAAAAATTGTGATCACATACAAACAATGTTTGAAGCATTTGACAATATCATAAGCCAACAAAGGAAGAGGTTAAAAAATGAATAGAACATGTTTATACATCTGACCAATGCAAAAATAAGATGGACTATGTAGTGTATCTATGGCAAATAAATGCAAATTAAAAGACCCTATCCTACTCCATGATTGTTATTTGTAAATAAAGCAAAAAGATTTCAGTAAAAGATGGCCAAGGATAAAAACCAATATATAAAAATAATAAACACAACAAACAACAAAACTAGAAGCCAGAAAATAAAAGATGGCCAAGGATAAAAACCAATATATATAAATAGAAAAACCAAAATCCACAAACAGGAAGGAGGGGCAATTCAGGTTTACATCAGCTCCAGAAAATAAACAAGATTGGTAAGATATTACCAAAAGAACACTGAAATAATGTAAGGGTCTTGTTAAGATTCTTAACATGTGACCTAAGGGCACACACTAACAAAATTCATAAATTATATCAGTTAATGGCACCATAACAATCAAATTCATTTTGCAGTTAAAAAATGAGCTGATAATCATAACAGCTTGGTTAAAAAATGGACAGAAACAAATTTGACACAAAAAAAATGATAATCAGCATAGATAATGCAAAAATCATTCTCCAAGTGTTACAACATTTGTGCATCATAGAGATTCCCAAAGACAAATCATCATTGAAATTCTGATGTCCCTGTCTGTTTTATAATCACTTGCACAACTAATTTCTAAACATCAAACTTCACAATTGTTTGAGGCAAGGCAATAAAAAAGAAAGATTTTATACTTGTAATTGAGGAGAAGGACAATGGTTGATCTTGAAAGTTCAAGCAGGTGCCTCAAATTAAGTTCTTCTCATTGTTAACACTCTAGTATATTTGAAACCCCATCCTGGGCACTTTGCTAATAAAAGTCTAACAAAATTCTAATGCAACTTCAAGACTACAATAATTAAACATCATATGACATAACCCAAGAAGATTAATAGTTTACCCACAAGAAATTTTAACAAACTTGCATAAATAGAAACCATGAAGAATAGGGGTGTTTTCAAAATTACAATAAGCAGAAAACCCACAAAACTAACTTGAAGAATTTACATTTTTTAATATTGAATATAATTGCATCAGAGAGATTCCCAAAGACTAAGTCATCATCCTCCTATGGAGTGCTCTGATGTCCCTGTCTATTTTATCATCACTTGCAAACTATCAAATCTAATTTTCAATTAGCTATATTTGAGCAAATGTACACCACAAATCAATAAGCAAAAATCTCACTACCCAAAAAACACAAAAAATTTGCAAAAGCCTCAGATTAAATTCGTTTCATAGTGAACTTACTCAAAGTATATTTAAAAACCATCATAGGCATTGGCAAATCTCATCAAAAATCCATCAAAAACAAATATTGAAAACAATACCAAACAATTCATCAAACAGACAACATTCAAAAACATAAAAATCGCATCTTTTTACGATTCAAGGAGTGCCAAAACGCTAATGTTATGATAATAAGATTACACAAGGGCACACATAGAGAAGACGACTTGAGAATGGCTCTTTCTGGTTATCGCGAAACTAGGGTTTAATTTGATTGTATATATAGCGGCGTGTTCATGTCTCTAAAGGGTTCGAAACTAGGGCAAAACAGAGGATGTCTCTTGTTTTGTTACTGTGGGCGGTGGATGAATGGGTTACTTGGACGGCTGTGATTCATTTACGTGGTGATACGTCAAATCTGGACCGTCGATTGGGAAGTAAAACACCTGGGATAGTAAAAACTGAAGTTGATTATGTGGCCTTACGAAAAGCCCACCCAAACAATCAGCGACTGGACTCGACTCTGAAAAGCCCACCAGTTATTAATGGGCCTAGATTTGGTAGAGATGGGCCCATTAATATTTTTAAGTTTAATCCAATTCCTAGTCCAACCCACTAAGGTAAGCGGTAAAATCGATCTAATTAGTTGAGCTAGACTTGCTAATCCTATTTAAGGCTCGTTTAAAATCGGATCATTAATTGAATAAATTAAATTTAGGGGAACTTATTGATAAGTCCCATGTAACAAGTTCAAAACCCAACTAATCCCAAAACAAAATACTTGCACCAATTAGTCCAATACATTTTTAATTGTTACCAAAAAGTCTTTTTTTTTTTTTTAATTTATTAACACTGTTCACATCTTACTACCGTCGGACTTCGGTTTAACGGTCGCCGGAGACTCACCGGAATGTCTAGAATATTGCCGGAAAAAAAAATTTTTAAAAACATGTTATGAAACTGTAAAATTTTACAGTTCTAAAGAATGTTATAAAACCGCAAAATTTTACAGTTTTAAACCATGATTCATTCCAGCACCAAAAAAAAAAATTTGAAACTGCAAAATTTTACAGTTTTCACCGCCTGTAACTAAAACTCGAAAACTGCTTGTTCAGAATTCGAAAATTTTCTCCATTAGAACAGAAAAACAGAAGTGTATAGCAGAGAGAAAAAAAAAAAAAAGAGATCGAAGGGGAAAGACGGATGTCTAACCAAATCTGTGTAGATCTACTCAGATCTGATGTAGATCTGAGTAGATCCATATCAGATCTAAGTAGATCCATTCATCTTCTTCGTCGGAAAATATATCATCTTCTTCGTCGGAAAAAATGTTATAAAGAATGTATAGCAGAAAAAAAAATGTTATGAAAAAAAAAAAAATTAAAAAACATGTTATGAAACTGTAAAAAGTTGATTTCAATGCTTGGTGGTTATCAATGAACCCCGATCAATGGAGAAAGATATGATCACCGGTGGTCCTCTTCCATGACAAACACGGTGACAGAAAAATGTAGAAAAAAAAACGAGAGAGGAAGGGAAGCAAAAAGTAGAGAGAGAGGGGAAAGGATTTTTGGGTGTAGTGAAAAAGTTATGGGATTAAATGGAGATCACATGTTTCCCGTGGGACCTATGGGTAATTTCCCCTTAAATTTAATACATTTATTCACTCAGTTTGATTTTGGAGTTTTTTTTTTTTTTTTTTAAATTGAGTTTTTAATCTGTATTTTTTTAGTGAATTTTTAGGTCAATTTTTTTTATTTTTTATTTTTATAGATATACCTAATTTACATGTACTTAAAAAGTTTAAAAAAAATTATGAAAAACTATTTTAAAATTTTAATAAATACAAAAAAAATACCAATTGTTTTTTCTTAAATTTGTTAGTTAGTTAGGGTTATTTTGGGAACTAACTATTTCAATTAGCATTTTAGCTTTTTACGAAAAAAAATGTGAAAAAAAGTAGAAAAAAAAAAGTTAATTTTTTTATAGTGATTTAAAATAAGTACTTCCCAAGCTTGCCTTTAGTATATTTGTTATTATTTGTTTGTTATATTTGTTAATATTTAGTGAATTTTAAAACAAAATTCATGAATTATATATATTTTTAAATGTATTTAGATTAAGTGGATTTAAAAATTAAAAAATATTGGTTAAAATACTTTTTTAAAAATACAAATTAAAAGTCAATAACTGTTTTTGAAAATTCCAAATTTATTTTGAACTCAGCTTGAATTCAGTCCATTTAAAATTGACTCAAGGAAATAAGCAACTTAAATTAATATATTTTGAAACCTTTTAAATTTTTGAGTGAAGTTTTAATAATTTATTCTTCAGTTTGACTCGACTTGTTTTATAGGCCTACATTGAAAGGTTTTGGGGCATTTATCATCTAAATGGAGATTGATGCATATTTGACCATTTGAATATGATATAAAACTAGAGTACTGTTATATAAATAAAAAAAATTATACATAATTTTCATATATAATGATGTGATTCATTATAAATATTTCATTTCAAAACAAAATATTATTGAAGATGGATTAATTTACAATAATAATATTGTCATATCATTCTTGTCAAGTTTTTTGTATGAATTTTATATATGTTTAAAATTTTTCATAAAGCTATGATAATTTGAATATAATATAAAGATGTGATAAATGTAAAATTATTGGATAATAGTAGGGTACTCAAACTTAGACCCACAAAATTGTAGAACAAAACTAAATCAAACTAATTTCAATGATTCGGTTCTAATTTGATTATATAGGTTCAATGGTTTGATTATGGTTCCAAAAATTGAGGCCATAAAAACTAGTTAGCTTGTTTTGGTTTCCAGAAAACATTTTTTTTAAAAATTTTATACCTTTATTTTTCATATTTTTTTGTTTTCAATGAATTTTTTTTAATATTTTAAACATTTTTTTTTTTAATTTTTAGACACACCTAACATAAATACACTTAAAAAGTATAATATTTTTTAAAAAATCTTTAAAAAATTCACTAAATACCAAAAATACAAAAAAAATATGAAAATTCAATATATTTTTCATATTTTTGTATATTTATTAATTTTTTAAGGGATTTTTTTTTAAGGTCCCTCGTATTAAGATTTTATAGCATAAAGGACATCTAATATTTTCATAATGTCTAAGGTCCCTCAAGTTGATCCAAAGAAAATTAGTCCAGAGAATATTCACGTCACAGAGAAAATTGGCCCAAAGAAATTCCGGGAAGAATTTCTCTGGACTTCAAGCTCTTGCACAGAAAGTTCATGACATGTGTTGTCGCTTGTCGGTGAAGTAGTCCAGATGCACCACCATTATCCAAAAAATGGAAAAGAGCAAAAGTCGTTGCTTCAATGATTTTATGCCATTGGTTCAATCCAGGAAATGATTTTCTCTAATCAAATGCATAGAGATCATCTGCATATGGATTCAGAGACCCTTCTAAGAACAAATCACCTATGTTGGAAGGGTGTGAATTCCCTCCCTTGATTCCCTTGAGTGCATCTTTGGAAGTATTAGATTCAATGAATTTGTGTGTATAGGTATGGTATATATATGGTGTGTGTTTGGACTGGTGAACTGAATTTTTTTTTCATTTGAACTGAATTTTCTCTAGATTGAAACCAGAGAAATTCTCTGGTTTTTTAACTGAATTTTCTCTGGATTGGTCTAGAGAAATTCTTTGGTTTCGAGCTGGAACCTGGAATGCTTAATTTGTATAAATCTCACTAATGTTATTGTTTTTTTTTTTTTTTGGTAATCAGGAATGAACACGAAGTTCAGTTAAAGGCCTTGAAGGGTCAACATGAAGATGAGTGCAAGAAACTAAAAGAGGAGTTGGATATCCAGAAATCCAAAGAAGACAGGCAAAGAGCGCTACTGCAATTGCAGTGGAAAGTAATGGGTGACAAACCACAAGAGAACCAAGAAGTAAATTAAAAAAAGAATTATTCTACTACATCAACGAAGATGAGAAATTCTGATGAACTGAGAGAATTATGGGAATTTCTCTGCAAGTCCCAGTCACCACACACACACACACACACATAGAGGCTCTGCAATTTTTTGCAACAATGGCGATAACCACCACTTCTCTTTATTTTGCCTCTCCGATTCCAAAACAAATCAACTCTACAAATCCACACACCTTTTATTTTCTCCCTTCTCGCATCTTCATCGCCAAATGCTCGTCTCTCTCTATCCGATCACCGCCGCAGCCGGTGGCGGCGGTAGTGGTGGCTGAAACCGCGAGTGCAGTTGTGGAAGCTGAGCCGAAGAAGACCGCCGCTACTCCACTCAATTCTCTGCCTTTATCGCCTCCTGATCCGGGATATTCTGTTGCTCAAGGTAATCGATTTCTTTTAATTCTTCAACTGCTTAGGCACAATTTGAATGTTATTTGTTGATATCCACTTGATATAGAGGAAGAGAGTTCAGAGAGAGAGAGAGAGAGAGAGAGAGAGAATGAGGTTTGATTTGAAAAAATTTCTCTGTAATATATGAGTGTGGGGTTGAGGTACCTTAGACATCAAAACATAATATTGTGGATCTCTTCCATTACTAAATATGGGAGAGGGACCTTAGACTAATTTTTTCATTTTTAAAAATATTTTATTATTTAGATATATCTAAGTAAGGTGCATCTAAAAAAGTAAAAAAATTGTTTATAATTTTAAAAAAATTTACTAAAAACAAAAAAATACGAAAAATAAAAAATTTAATTTCTAAAAAATTAAATTTACAAAAACTTATTCCTGATTTATTTTAAAACTGAATCAATCCGATCAGTAAACATGTAGAGTTAATTTTTGTCTCTTAAAAGCCACCAACTACTACTGGGTCTGGATTTACTACAGAGGGGCCGCCAATGTTTAAATTTAACACAATTCGAATCTCGTCTGGATGGAATCCAACCCAATGAGGTATGAAATTTTGGTCCTACAACAAACTAAAAAATTCCTTGAGCTTGACTTGTTAGGTTAAATAAGTCAAATTTAAGTATATTTCAAAATAAAAATGTTTCAGGCCATTAATTTAATATCAC